TCACTCCATTGCCCTTGGTAAAGTGTCGTGCTGTCACAGCTCACAGCAACCTCCAACTGCTGGGCTTAAGTGATTCTCTTGCCTCAGCCTCCCAAGCAGCTGGGACCATAGACACCCGCCAGAACACTCAGTTATTTTTTTGTTGCAGTTTGGCCAGGGCTGGGCTTGGGCTCAAAACCACTACCCTCGGTATACAGGGCTGGCGCCCTACCCACTGAGTCACGGGCGCTGCCCTGTTTGAGCCTAGAGCCAGGTGTAGTGGCTCACACCTATAATTCTAGCAGTCAGGGAGGTCGAGGCCGGTGGACTGCCTGAACTCACAAGTTCGAGACCAGCCTGAGCAAGAGCAAGGCCTCCAGTTCTACTGAGGGCAAAAAAGTGAGACTCTGTCTCAAAAAAAAAAAAAAAAAATTAAATAAAGCCAAGTCTTGCCCAAACTGGAGTAAAATGGGACAATTATAGCTCACTGTATACTCAAGCTCCTAGGCTCAAGTGATTCTCCTGCCTCAGTCTCCTAAGTAGCTAGGACTATAGGTGCATACCACAATGCTTGGTAATTGTTACATTTTTTAAAAAGGCAGGTTTTCCCTATATTGCTCAGGCTGGTCTCTAACTCCTGGCCTCAAATGATCCTCCTGCCTTCAGCTTCCCAAAGTGCTAAGATTACAGGCATGAACCACAGTGCCCGGCCACATGTACCTATTCTTATCAACAATGTCAACTCTATGGAGCCCAAACTAAGAGATGGTTTAATCATTTTTCATGGCAAAATGGATAGACAACTTGGATGATTCATTCTAAAAATTAGGTCAACTATCACCTGAATCCACTTCTTGGTCCAATTTATGCTGATAGCTGTCATCTTTGCTAAAACCCATCCGTAACTGGTCAACCCTGGACCTGGCCTCAGATGCCACTTAATGTCAGGTAGCTCAAGGCTTTCCTCTAATTTATATAATCTAAAATGCAGAGGAAAATGGTATTTTTCCTTTTAAAATGATGGGGCACTTTTTTTTTTGGAGATAGAGTCTCACTTTGTGGCCCTCAGTAGATTGCCGTGGCAGCATAGCTCACAGTAACCTCAAACTCTTGGGCTCAAGCAATTATCTTGCCTCAGACTCCCAAGTAACTTGGGACTACAGGCGCCTGCCACAAAGCCTGGCTATTTTTAGAGATGAGGTCTCGCTCTAGTTCAGGCTAGTTTGGAACCCATAGCTCAGGCAATTCACCCACCTTAGCCTCCCAGAGTGCCAGAATTAAAGGTGTGAGCCACTGCGCCCAGCCCAATGATGGGACACTTTAAGAGCTACCCCCTGGAGAGTTCATTTGACTGGGTGGCAATATGTGATTTCAGAGATTCATACAAACCATTTCTCATACATTGCTAATGTTTACAAGCAAGTTACCAGGAACAGTATTGAGATGAGGATGTAAGGACGCCCTTACTCATGTGGCTGGCTAGGCAGAAGGGCCTTCCTTGTCATTATGAGTCCTTTTGAAGGCTACTAAGTCCACTGAACACACACACTTTCAGATGACAGAACCTAGGCTTTGATGTTTACAGTCTAAGGTCAGATCCCAACTCTGATTTGCCACACACTAGCTTTGCAAACTCAGGCAAGTTGTCACATCTCTGTGGATTTAGGCCCCAGATACCAGAGGATTATTTGTAAGTATTCAATGAGTGAAGCATCTGGCAATTTCTTCTCAATGTAACTATTTTTTTTTTTTTTCAGATTAGTCAAGTGGGCTCAGTGCCTGTAGCATAGTGCTTATGGTGCTGGCCACATGCACAGAGGCTGTTAGGTTCGAACCCAGCCCGGGCCAGCTTAACAACAATGACAATTGCAACAAAAATATAGCCAGGCTTTGTGGCAGGCACCCATAGCCCCAGCTAACTTGGGAGGCTGAGGCAAGAGAATCACTTAAGCCCAAGAGTTTGAGGTTGCTGTGAGCTATGACACCACAGCACTCTACTGAGGGC